TTCGATGAGAATCAATCATCAACGACAAGTTTTTGGGCTCAATAATTCACTTACGACTCTACCGGTTCGTATTTCTTTACAACATTTCCTGTCAAGGCTGTGCTAGGTGCAAAATTTCATTCTCTATCGAATGGTAATATATTCAAGGAGAATGATCCATCATATTTGGATCTTAGACCACAAATACTGACTAGCCGGCCAAAATGAGCTCGTATTTTTAGCCAACATTCGCTCCAAAACTTGCGATTTCTTTCAGAATGGTTGTAATGGATGCAGTATTTCATTTTTTACCGAATGATCATATTTTCAACAATGGCCATGCATCATATGGGCTATGAGTGCTGGTTGACGAAAGAACATCTACATCCATAGCCACACTCACACTGACACTTTTTATGACGAATGATCATCGTTCAAAATATGACCATTCGTTAAAGAATGAAATGCTGCATTTATCACAGTTCATTCGAAAGCCAGAACAGGTATAGTTGTGAATGTCAGCAGGAGTTGCTAGCAGAATGAGTTGAAAAAAGGTGGTTTTGTGTCTGGAAATCTTCCTTCGAAAATATCTCCATTAGGTGCAGAATCATATTCTGTGTGTAGCTCAACTAATTAAAAAACTAGCATAGATGTAGGAACGAATGTCGACTAGAAAAACTCGAATCCACTCCTAACTTTTTTTACGTATATTACATCGATAATTATTTGCAATCCTCATTGACGTAGTCTAGACAAAAAGACCAGCATCTGATACGCATACTGACAAACTCCATCATGAGAAGGCCAACTACATGTTCATTAAGATGTTTCGAAGTATTTAGAATCAGGAAACATGAAAGTTATTCGACAACCGTCGAATTCTCCGCATCTAGTACCGTCTAATCTTCGGTTATTCGATCTGATCAAACAAAATCGAACAGATAAAAGCAACACACAATCGTTGTACCTTGCCGTTATCAAGATCATCAACTCGCTCAATAAAAGTCAATATAGAAAAATCTTCGACAGATGACTTCAACTAATACACTTGTGTGTAAATAACCAAGAGACCTACTTCAAATATTTGATGGATCTTGAATAAAGTGTTCGCGTGTGTTTTTTTTCTCAAAATCTCATTACTTTGGGTACGATCTAAGTCGATGAATGTAACCGATGCATTGTCATATAAAATCGACTCGTTTGACGAAATCATATTTTTGGTATTAGAAAATTTGATTTTCTTTATAACGAAAGAGACAAATTTGAATACGTTACATTTCTGTAATGAAGTTCAGTAGATATGTGCAATGTTAATCATTTGCCTATAAAAATTTTGTGAAATTTTTTATCGTTACTCTATTTTAAGTATATTCGTTTTCATTCTTTAACTTAGTTTTTACAATTTTATTTTTAATTTCAAATCATAGTTGAATACAGTAAATAAAAAAAATTCTTTTTATCACATATTGGTATACATCGAATTACTGAATTGCTATGACTGGTATGCGGTCATCAATCATGGTTTCTTGGTTTTGGAGATTTTATGCTCAAAGTTTGAATTTTTTAAACAATAACTTGAAATTTTAAAAGTTTTCGTTTTTCCTCATTCATATTATTCTGTGTCTTCTTTTGTTTTTTACAATAAAACTTATATTATAAATATATATATATATATTATAAAGATAACAGAAATAAATACAATTAGTTATATTAGTACTATTTCTATTATCAAAAAAAAGGATATCATATTATTCAAATAATTTGATTTTAGTTGACCATAATCATATCTTCAGACTCTCAATAATTATTACATCACATACTCATGTTACAGCATTGAACGATTCAATTGAACCATTGAATAATTTGATAATAATGGTCGTTAATTCTATAGGCATACTATTAGATTAATTTGAATCCCAATACTGCTCTACGCAGTCATTTGTATCATAGCGACCAGATAGTAATTATTTTACAGACAAATAGATGCAGGTGAATTTTCGTTTATAGACTCTATGTTCAATCTCTCTAGTTCAACCTCGTTATATTAATTATTTACTGGAATTTGAAATTTCAGTGATTATTTTTTTCTGTATGTTTTCAATGCAATTCATAGAATTAGAAAAATCCTTTTTGATGATTTTTTTGTAGAAGAAATCAATTGATCTTTGATGAAAAACTGCGACTATGTGTTAGTATGATAACTTCTGAATCGAACATAGGTATTATTCTATTATTAATTTATTAGAACATTCTTAGTGAAATACCTGATCGTATAATTTATAAAAAGGCACTAGATTTTTTACAAATATTTTAAACGAAAACCTTAATCAAATATTTGAAATATTATATGTAAAGGATATTGACAACAAGTATAACTGATTTTGCTTTTTTAGCATTTTATATCGGTATAATATTATAATAGCAAATAAATTTGTGATTTAAATGCATGTTGTTTTTTGTCGAAAAAAAATGACAACAAGACAGACAGTTGAATTAATTGAAAATTATAAATGATTCATCTATTCAGTAAAACATGTATCGAAATATAAAACTATTTGTATCTTTTACACTGATAATATCATATTTCCTGGGTCAAAAGAATCTGCTTGTGTTGTTTTCGCTTGACAATCTCTATAGGATTTAATTAAATCTCTTTTGTAATAGCCCAAAGAAATCCGGCTTTAAATTGATGACTAATGTATATAAATTCAATGCTTGTGTTTCGAAGAATCATTAGTTTATTCTCTATATTTTCTTTTCTTTATATCTTTAAGTTTATATGTCTCATCAATAAGATTGATCGAAAGAAGCTAACTGCCTTTGGATCAATGAGGCACATTGACAACGCTCGCCGACGATCGATAAGCAATGTTTGTGAAATTGTCGGAACGGAAGAGATAGATAGACAGGAATAAAATGAACTTAATATATTTGATTATATGGAAGGATTGATGATTATATTTCTCTCTTTTCCTCTGTGTCCTTCTTTTTTTTTTTCTTCTAACTCATTGTCGTCAAGAAGAAAAGAAACTAAAAAAAAATAGCAATATACATGTAAACCTGGAAAAGAAGAAAAAAGAGAAAAACGACGGATTGACTTTGGAAGAGAGAGAAAATGTGCTCGTCATCTTTGGGCGGAGTTAGAACAGTACTGCCTTACAACAATAACAACAATAACAACGACAGCGATAACAACACACTCATCATTGGCACCAACACCAAACGAATTGCTTGCAGCTGATCAAGATTAGGGAATTGTATGTCGATAAAGTCTTGTATAACTTAAAAGACTACTTCAAGAACCGGCATATGTTTGTATCCAATACATTTGCTTTCTATATTGGTTATTGATGTCAATAGTCATCATCTGAATCCGTCCGATGCCGTCGTTTATCTTTCGATTATGTTCTGTAATCATCAACGTCTGCAATTGATTCTCATGATTCAACTATTGTATATATTCATCGTTCGTCAGTATGTTTTATTTTAATTAATTTTTAAAATGGAAGAGAGAGAGAGAGAGAGAGAGAGAGACAAAGAGAAAAAAGAAATAATGATGAAATTCTGAGTACCAAGGTTGGTGATCTAATAGTTATTACTACAAGTGCGTTTTTCTTTTCCTTAATCAATTACAAGAAAAAAAAGGAAGAGAATGCATCGAAGTGAATTGAAATCGATTATATACAATGTGTTGTTTCGAGTTGCCGCTCGTCGCCGAATACATGGTGTTCTGGTAAATTAGGACAAAACTCGAGAAATATTTGGAATAGAAAAGAAAAAAAAAAGAAATATTGAGTAAATTGAAGACATTGCATGTGCGCATGCATGATTGGATCATCCTTGGATTTGTTCGTTCCTTCTGTTTGCATGCAAAAAGAAAAACAAGATCAGTCTACGAGTTATCTATTTTGTCATTCTAAGAATCGACAGTACCTGCATATATAAAACAATCAATCAGATAAATATAAGGATAAAATCATTTTTTTAATGATCTATATTGATAAAAATAAGATTTATTCAAGTGTGATTTGTCGTATATTAATCTTGATATAAGATTGAATAAGTTTGATAAATAATAAAAAGAAATTTTTGTTCTTAATTTAAAAATTACGAAATTTTTTTTTAATTTTTGAAAATATTATTTATTATTGAGATTTGTTTTCATGTTTAATTTCATTATGATAATAAATTTTCTGTTTTTATCATATCACATTGTATTTTTATTTGAGGAATATTTTAGGTCAAAAATAATTATGTAGTATCATCGTTTAATTATACCGTATTTATACAAAATATTGAAATGAAGAAAACAACTACGCAAAAGAATTCATATAGTTTTTTTTTTGAGGGAGATATAATCAATATCTACTGTTATAATAAAATGTGCTCGAGCTTCGAATAGATTATTGGTTCTAGCTGACGAGGCATTGTTATTAACTAATAAGCTGCTTTTCTTATCAAAAACTACGGGATTATAGATTATTAACCATTCTGATTCCGAATATGTTCATGAAAAATTTTCTTATGTGTTCATATGTTGTTTTTCCGAAAAACTAGTTTTTTAGAGTGATAAATTTTGTGTTTCTTTAGTTCAAATTAAAGAGTATATTGAATTCTTTAGAAAACAGTAACTTTTTCAGTTTCAAACCATTGTTTTAGTTTGAAATACAACCATTTCAATTCATACACTATTTTATTGTGAAAATTTTCAACTTGATATTATTTTATGTCAAACTCACTTGTTTTTGAAAAACAGAAAATATTATGGACTTATAGCCAAATTGATATGCATTATAGTCTCAGTCAATCTCAAAGTTTTTTAGAGAAATGTTTACTATTCTAATAAAAAGCCAACAAAGAAGAACTTAAGAGGATTTCTGATGATCATATTCTGAAGCAGCACAGTAGATAATAAATTCGCCAGCAGGCTTCGATGAAAAAAACAATTAATTAATTGAAAAAGTTCCTACGTGAGTCTTTAGTTTATATATTAATCTTTCAATTATAGGAGTTCACAACGTATGAGTGCAGCCCGTTTGAAGAATGCTTCAGTAGCAATTGAAGATTTGCTCAAAGAATATGACATTCGTCTGCGACCATCGTTCGGAAGTATAAATTCATAATTATTTTTATTTTCGTTTCTTTCTTTTTATATAAAATATTTTCAATCTAGATGAACCATTATTATTAGATATTGAAATTCGTTTAGCAAGTTTTGATAGTATATCTGAAGTTAATATGGATTATACATTAACACTTTATTTAAATCAATATTGGCGTGATGATCGTTTAGTATTTGGTAATACAAGTGAAGAAATGACATTAACTGGTGAAATAATTGATAGATTTTGGTTACCTGATACATTTTTTCCAAATGATAAAAGTGCATACTTACATGATGTAACAGAAAAAAATAAAATGATACGTTTAAATGGTAATGGAGAAATTCTTTATGGTATGAGATTTACAAGTACATTAGCATGTATGATGGATTTACGACGATATCCACTTGATAGACAAAATTGTACAGTTGAAGTTGAATCATATGGTTATACACAAGCTGATGTTATTATGCGTTGGAAACATGGCCGTGCATCTGTATTAGATCTTGATAAAGTTCAATTACCACAATTTACAATAACTGGCTATGATACAATATCATATGGACTTTATTTAGCAACAGGTAACATCAAAATAAACTTTTCTTGCTTAGTAGATTTGCTTTTTTCTCTTCAAAGGTGTTTATCAACGTCTTTCGCTGAGTTTTATTCTTCAACGAAATATAGGCTATTTCTTATTTCAAACTTATCTTCCTTCAATTCTTATTGTCATGTTATCTTGGGTAAGCTTTTGGATCAATCATGAAGCAACAAGTGCACGTGTAGCATTAGGTAAAAAAAAACACGAATACAATTAAATATTCAATGAAATTTTATGTAAATCTTGTTTATATTCTTTGTTTTACTATTTTTAAGGTATTACTACTGTTTTGACAATGACAACAATATCAACTGGTGTTCGATCATCTCTACCACGTATATCTTATGTTAAAGCAATTGATATTTATTTAGTTATGTGTTTTGTATTTGTATTTGCCGCTTTACTTGAATATGCAGCTGTTAATTATCTTTATTGGGGTACGAGAGCAAAAAGACGAAAACGAAAAAAACAAGAAAATCATACAAAAACAGAGAGTCATGTAAATATTATTGAAAATAATATGAAAGTAAAAGTTAATATTAGATACAAACAATACTTTTTTATATTTAGGCTGATTATGAACTAGTTGAAGAAGGTGGTGGTCGAGCATCACCTATACTTGGTTTACGTCCTCCTAATTCAATTAATCGTCGAGTAACCACAGCAACAACATCATTTGATGAAAATTGTTTAACTCGACGAAATAATCTTACGGTTGATAATCAACTACCACGTATTCGTCCTATTTTACGAGGAAATCCTGGATTATATTCATCATCAATAAATCGAAATCTGCGTCACCAACGAATGAATCGTCTTTTAAATCATGTACGAACTCGTGTTGTAAGTATACGTCAACATATACCACATGTACAGGATGTTAACGACATTGACAAGTGGTCACGTCTCTGTTTTCCTATACTTTTTATACTTTTCAATGCAATATATTGGCCATATTATATAGCTCGACCACAAACATCTAACTAGAAAGATAAATAAGAAGAAATCAGCGAATTATTGATGAAAAACTATTGTATATTGTATGATTTTTACTGAATACGTTTTGGAGAAACAAAAAAAACACCAATTCAATTTGCTATACTCATTTTCAAAATAGTGTTAATTTAAAAAAACAATGAGATTTAATTGTCTTGAGTATTGTCTATAATTACACTGTTAATGGAAATAAACTAAAAATCGATCTGGAAAAACTGATAAGATATATCTAGTCAAATAATTTCAATAGTAATGGAAAATAAGAAAGACTTTTTACAGTTTTACAACAATCAATCATAAGACAATAAAAAGAAATTTTAATGCCAATAGATAATAAACAAACAACTACTTATTGATGAATTGTATTTATTGAAATAATTAAACAAACCAACTTGTCAAGAGTATGAATATCACTAAAGATATGCTGTTACTCACATTATTTACATGACGTCAGTTTGATTTTTTGCTTTGTTATCTATTGTTTGCTTTTCAGTTAATTAACTTTTAAAATATATATGTTTGATTGATAAATTATTGATTTTATTATCTACTATTAGTTTTTGTCTAAATCATTTATGTTTGTGATTTATAAATCTTATGTTTTCTTCACATAAAAGACAAATTTTAATTGAAAAGCATTAAAATGATATTTGATAACAGAGTAAAATTTATGGAAATGATTGATAACAACGACAAGAGGATGAGCTTAGTCCACAGCCTTTTACTGAAAGAATAATAGATTATTAATCTACTTCTGTAGATATATTTAGATTATTAATTTACTTCGGTAGATATAGTTAGATTATTAATCTACTTCTGTAGACATTTTTAGATTAAGAATCGTAGCTTTTGATCTTCAAAGCTTCAGGAATCAATTACTATTGATCATTAATAACTTCTCTTTTCTTTTACTCTTTATATTATTCAATATTTCTTTCGCATACACTTGAACAATAACCAAAACTATCATCAAAGTTAACGATATTACGAAAATAATTAATGCATAATAAGATAATCTTTGTATCATTATGAAAAAATTTGCTGCAAAAAAAACAATGATCTGTGTTGAACAAAAAAAGGATTTTTTTTCTATGATCTTTTGTTAATAAGTATTCCTGTGAGATATGTTGACATAATTTTATCGTATTAGATTGTAGTGCTATTTTTAGTCACTTTTAAAACAGATGATGCTATTTGAAAAATTTTTGTCTTTCGATAATTGAATCTCATTCGAAAACACTCAAGAACTTTATTAACACAAAAGGAAAAACATGAAAATCATATTTTCATCAGCACTTTAATTGAGTTACTCGAAACAAAAAAAGAAAAAGGAAAGAAACAAGAAGATTAGCTTCGATGTCTTTTTCATTGCTATTCTGTAGATAAATATTCTAATACATAATGTTATTTGTAGCATCTATTATGAAAGATTCATTTTGCGTATGTATCGATAATAATTTTACAGTTAACGTCAATAATTTCAAATAATTATATTGTAGACGATTAAGAACAGTTCTAAATGTCATGAGAAAAGAATTAACGACATTAGACATTTTGGCTATTTGCTGTTGTTTTCTTGATTGATATATAAATTGTTTCTTTTTATAAACATTATACTCATACAAAGAACTTTATCAATTTATATAAAAGAATAAATGAAAATCTATTGAAAAACAACGAAAAAATATAATCATTTATATATGAAAATTTAACTTTTTAATAGAAAGATAAAGAAAAAAAAAGAACAACATGATAATCGATTTGTTAGGCTATTTGAAATATTGTTTGTATTTATATATAGATTTATCTACATTTGTGTAATTAGAAACAAGACTTACATATTTTCTTGAAAGAACCCATATGATATGATATCGCAGTCTTAAATGTTGTGCACATATATGTTGACATGTCATTTGTCATGTAACATTATCATGTCCAAATGCCACTTACGTATACAAACGAAATAGATAGAAAGAGAAAATCGGAACATTTCATCTATGCTGAATCCTATTATTGTTACTTCCAATCGATTATGATGATGATGTTGATGAGAACGAAACTCATACTACCAGACTATAAAAGCAAAAACAAATTCTTTTACTCTCTCTCTCTCTCTCTCTTATATATATATTGAAGAGCCATTACCATTCCAGATGCATACTTACGATAGATCAATCTGGTTTCTCTCTATGTGTTGTTTCTCCTACGTACCGTATTTAAGAGAATATTGACGAAACAAGCGTAAGAAACGAGAAGCTTTCCTTCACGATAGACCAAGAACAATAAAAGAACAAATAGAACTCGACATACTTCCATATTTTTAATGACAGCCATATAGACCGAGTAACCATAAAAAACAACAACAACAACAACAACAACAATAATGATTATATATAGAAAAAGAAATCAAATATAACGTTCACTCGGTCCATCAAATATATCTTGTTTGATGAACAACAGAGAGTTCTTTTTTTTTCTTTCTTTTTTATTTGTTTCTTCTAGTTATGATATTAGTAGCTTTTTCTCGTTTTTTTTCTAATATTTAATTGTCTATAGTATACATAGAAGAATAACACCACATGATACATCGTATAAACATGACATAAATAGTATGCCTATCCTTGCTGTTGTCTCTCGTGTGTTCTTTCTTTCTTTTCAAGTCATTCATTCGATGTCTCTTCCCCTGGTGACTTTTTTTTCTAGAAAACATGATGATAATGATGATCAAACTAGAAAAAAAGAACAAGTAATCATTGGTTCATTCTCAAAGAATTTTGAACGGAACATCAGCATCAACATCAATATTAATCAGCACTGTATGATAGCACGAGATTGAACCAGCGGTAGTGGGAACGAAATCAGTGGTGTGTATGAGCAGAATCGAATTTGAATATATTGATGCTTACTTGGTCTTTTGTTCTCATTGCTATATTTATCACGATGAATCCTTATCACATTGATGGTAAGTATTTACCATTGGGATTTACTTTGTTTTATGTAAATAACAAATTGAAATCATTTCTATACATAGGTGAATCTGTTCCATGTTCTAATCGTGAACATTCACCATTATGTTTTTGTCGATCATCATATCGACGTTCTTTATTAACTGATTTATTTATTTCTAAAATATCTCTCTCTCAATGTGTTACTTCGTATTCTACTAAACAATGTAGTCAAGGCCGATTATCTCCATCGTCAACACATGTCACTCAACTTGTACCAAATCTAGTTAATTATAGTCATTGTTTAGAAGATACACATTGTCTTCATACGATACATAATACACAACGTTGTCAACAATGTCAAATAACGCCTTCATCGTTACTGACAGAAAATACTTCCTATACTATTAGTACAACAACAAATAATCTTCCAACAGATTCGTGTTTTTATATATGTGAACATGATAAGTCATGTGGATTTTTATGTTCTGATCGCCGTGTAACAATAACAATCAATTGTAATACATGTCGAGGACGTAGACGTAATGTTACATGTCGGTAAGTTTTTTATATTTTATTTCGATATAGAAATTCATTAATATAACTACATAAGTTAATATAAATATATATATATATCGACTTTTAAATAGTTGTATTAAAGTAAAACAATCTCCATCATGTCTTCAATTTACAAATGAAACAACAACTCCACGTTGGATGCAGAAACGTGGTTTTCCCGCTGCTGGAATTCTTGCATTAATGGTTTTAGCTACTGTTTTATTAATTATTGTTATCAAACTTATTAGTCGTCAATTAGATTTGTTAGCTGGGCACAATGCAAGGTCTAATCGTCGTTCAATAGCAACAATAACAACATATAGAAGTCGACAACCATCACCTTCAACAGTAATTAGTTATCCAAATACACCACTTATTCCTCCTGTACAACTACGAAAAGATATTGTGACAGCTAATAGAATGGTTGAATTATTAAATGATAAATCACGAGAATATGTTGTAGATATTCATCAACGTACTAATGCTGATGATTTAAGTGTCTTTTTATTAAAAAGAACTTTACCATTAAAGCCGAAAACAAAAGAAATCGTCAATATCGATGATGACAATGAAGAAGAAGATCAAATTTGATTTTTTTTTCTTTTTTGATATTTGATTAACTGTGATGTTTCATTGAGTTTAAGATTAAAAAAATTTTTTTGAATGATAAAAACATTTTTTTATGAATCTATTGATAAGCAAAATGTTTGATTCATTGTAAGTTGATCACATATATTTTATTTCAGAAGATAAACAAAAAAGTTCTATTTAAATAACAAAAAAGAATATATTATCTTGAGAAGTACTCCAATGACATACTCGTCCATTTGTTGAAATATGAGCCTATTCTAATGCATTATGACTAATCATAGTATTGAGAATATTTTGAAAAAAATCTTTTTTTTTCTATAAATCATAAAAATGATAAACACACGAAACATTAAAGAAAATTATGGAATGAAAATCTTTGTTAAACTTGTTACATATTGTATAATGCTGAAAAGTGATTTATCATGTACTATTTACACTGCTATGAATTAACAAAGAAAAACTATTGACACTCCATTGTTACTACAAAAAACATGCTTTAGAACTCGCCAAAAGACTTATAGTATGATGTGTACGAGAAAACTTTATTTTCATTTATGTCATTGGGATTGTCTTGATCGGAGATTATCTCTTCTAATCTTGAGAAATCTTCGATTTTCCCGAGCGAATTTTCAGCGTTTTATTTGTTTTTTTTTGCTCATTAGTTCTCAACAAATCGTTCGATTTGTTTACTGCCGAATCCAATCAATTTTACAAAAAATCTTCTTATAGGTCTCGTGAGTTTTCACATCCCTCCTTCCGATTCCTGGCAATCTCAAAGCATCATATTATGTAACTAAAATAGAGAATAATTTTCTAATTTCAATTCTTTTTCAAGTTATACTGCATAATTTCTTTTAATTATTTCAATAAATGCTCATTTACTTTTTCAAAAAGAAAAAGATTAGATTCATTAATATAAGCTTGAATAATATAAATATTTAATGTGTATTGCAGATATTCTCAAATAACAACTTTTTAGTTAGAAACAAATAATTTATTCTAAAATAGAATTTCCCTAGTTTCATCATGGAAAAAAGTCATAAATCAATATCTTTGTTGTTTTTCCTGAATACTACTATATAGTACTACTTAGTGAATAACAAATTTGGATGATCAAGTTGCAGTATGAAGGAAACATTCATAATGGAATTTTGCCGAGTATCCTATAGAAATACAGCTGAATAAACTTATTGTTGTACTTTATAACTTATTCGTCTTGAAATATATTTTATGGATCATATTGTTTGACAATTTTATAATCGGTATTTAAATAAATTAGCAAACGTCACACTATAATAAACAAACAAAAGAATTCAAAAGAAGAAACTCCATCGTGATTGTTCTTTCATTATTTAAATTTTTTTAAAGAATAATATGTACTAGATAATTTTGATACTGTAAAGAAAAAAATTTTCATCGACAATACTAAACGAGAATTTTATGATATTGAAAAACAAAGAACTTTTCAAAATTGATAGTTTATTATTTGATAATATCTTTTGACTTTGAATAAATCTTATACAACAAAACTTAAAAACAAAAGCTATAAAAACAGAATTTTATTTATTTGATATTAATGTTTTACAAATAAGTCTAATTCATAGTGTGATTTTTTATTTTCCTAATTGTCGTATTATCAAAATATACATATACAATCAAACGAAAGAATTACAAGATAGGAACGGAAGAATTTATGTAAACCGGAATGTTAACATTTTGTTTACCATCTTATTTGTCCTTTATATTCTTCTTTTAATGATATTCGTTTAACTGTTTCATAACCAAATATAATAAATAATGAATAAACACATGAATGAGAAAGACGAGCTGTTAAGCCTTTTGTAAATATTTTAAAACGTTCTTCTTGCCATAATTCACGCATTATTTGTGATACTTTTCGTCGTTCTTGTTCAACTTGTATACGTGTGCGACATACATCAAGTGGATTCGTAAGTAATGTTGATGTAAGAGAAGATAAGGGACCAGCAATACATTGAATTACAAGTAACGGTAATGGAAACATATTAGCTAAAGAAAAAAAAAAGAGAATAAACATTTCTAAACGACAACAATTTTCTTTTTCTTTTACTTCTAAACAATGTTTTAAAAACTCTAATTACACTAGAAGTTTTCAAATAAATCTATGATACTTACGAAACGTAGCTTCAATATTAAGCATTTGTCTTTGATAAAAGTAATATGATGGCCACCAGATTGCACTAGTTAAACTGAATAAAAACGTCGAAATAAAATATCCACGATAAAAACCTTTTAAACTCAAACGAGGTTTATTATTATTAGTATTATTATTATTATGATCAGAAACATTTTCATAAAGTATAGTTTTACATATATGTTTAAATATTAAGTAATTACTATTACGTATTTCTTTAGGTACATGTATACGAGGTATTTGTTGACGAGTTATTTTTGTGTCTGTTAATGTTGTATCTGATACAGATGTTGTACCATTTTTAGTACGAGTTTTTTTTCCGGGTGATGTTAAGCCAACTAATTGCATATGTTGAGATATAATATCAATTGGACAAGCAAGTATTTGTGCTATTAATGAAGCTATTGAGCCAGCAAAACCAGCACGTAAATATTCATTTTTAGTTATAATATTTGCATGTGAACGAGTAGCTTCAAATGTTGTTATATAAATTAGACCGGGTACTAATTGACAATTATAAACAAGAAAGCCTTTATATAATGAACGAAAACCTTCATAACGAACAGTTGATGTTAATGCATGCCATGTACCTTTATAAATCGATGATTGTATTTGTACTTGTAAACGTGTACGAACAAGTGTAAATGGATAAAGAAGTGAACGAACAGTAAATGTTGATAGAAGATTTAAAGGAACATATCGACTTTTATCAAGCATCGGCCAATCGATATCATGTATTATCCGTGGATCATCACTTTCAGACATGAAGTGCTTAAAAATAAATAAATATATTTTCATTCATTTTAAGAGTTGATTTTATCAGAAAAATTTTATGTCCCATTAGAATCTATTTAATTGTTAATGTAAACAACCAAACTAATACAAAGTGAAACATTCAAATATAACAATCCGTATAGGTTTCTTTGATATATAGAACATGAAACAAACGAAAAAAAATCCTATTTTGAAGAAGTTTGCGACTTTACAGATAACAAAAAAAAAAGAAAACACGTTTAATTTACAAAAATACAAAATTATTTTGATGATGATAATATTTGATTTATCGGTGTTGCTCGTTGCTGAAGTATTTTCTGTACTAAACCTTGACTTGCCAAATATAATAATTGAAAACGTTTCGTCATTGTTCCTGTGGGATTTGTTTGAATATATGCATATAATTTTTTATTAAGATCAGTTAATACATTATATAAATAATCTCGTACACTTGGATGTGATAAATCAAGACAGATCAATGCTTCATATAAATAACTAAATATGAAAAAAATTAGAAAAAAATAAAATAAAACAAAATCGATTTAAAAAGAAAATAATTTACCTATATTTTAATTCTTGATGTGTATTTAAATCAGCTGCAAGTTGTTGAATTAAAGAAAGAATAACTGGAATTTGTAATGGACATGGTTGCATTGAAAATAATTCAGCTGGACGGATATTTTCACATAGATATAAAACAAGATTTAAATCAGATGCTGATAAAACATATTCAAATGCTTGATTTAATTGACCAGAATGAACAAATTTTGATGCTGTTTGCTGTTTAATATCAATTGTTGAAGTTATTTTTGTTTGATTGGATGATGCAACAGTAGGTATTGGGGTTGTTGTTTGACTCGCTGTCGATTGTGGTTTTGGTGTAATTGTTCTTTGTTGTTGTTGTTGTTGTTGTTGTCGAAGATGTTGAATAATTAAAGTATTTATTTCATTTTTTTGGGTAACTAATAATTCACGTAAAACATTTGTGACTTCTTCACGAACTATTGATTGAATCGTCTCACGAATTCTATTTGTAAAAGAAAAACAAAGCTGTCAATATGAAAATGTGAAACATGATGTAGCTGCTATTGCTAATTACAGGGAAATTGTTTTTTTTTTGTATACATTTTGGGACATATTTCTTCACCATCCTTTTACTTAATCTTTCAGAAATGCAATGAGGAACTGATTCATATTTTAGTAGGAGACATTATTGATATGCGGTCTGCAATGACGAGATTCCTGCATCGGACCTTAAAACTTGCCTCCGTTAGAATAAGAGTTAATGTAAGCCATAGGAATTCCGGAAGTTCCGTTTCATTCTTGACTTATGTGAAACCGAAAAAGTAGAGGAAAAGCCTGAAAATACATAATATCGCCGCAAACGTAAGCTGGTGCTAATTTACTAGAAAAAAAGTTTCGCAATTAAAAAAGCATGACTCCACATGCCTCTAATAATGACTCATTGTGAAGATATCTGTGAGACTCAAATGTCTATATCTATACTTTAACACCGTTTTGGAATCGTATTTCATAATAAGATAAAGTTTTGATTCAGTGATTTAATCTTACAAAGGTGTAAGAGTTGTTGTCATATATTGAATAATTTCATTTTTAAGTGTATTTATTAATTCTTGATTTTTCTTTTCCAATTCTTTTAATAATTGTGTTGAATCTTTACGTATTTCATTCATCATTTGTTCACGTTGTTGAATTAATGAACGTTGTTGTTGACGACCATATTCGATCATTTCTTGTAAATCTATATATTTTAAATTTTTATTTATTTGAAGAATATATATTATACATACATTCTTTTGTACCACGTTTAAATACATCATTGGTTTGTTGAAACATATTTGTTGCAGCTTTTTCAAATGATGGTATAACAATTTGATTAAATGTATCACGATAAGATGTGACCATTGTTGTTTGAATTGCATTTGCTACGGCATTACTTAATGAATCAATCATAGTCTAATATTAATTACAAAAACAAAATACATAAGAAAAATAAAAATAAAAATTAATAAATAAAACCTTTGAGCGAAATATTTGTGTTATTGTTTGTTTAATAACTGTATCAGTAGCTAATAATTTTGCAGCTAAATCTTTATGTAAATTATCTTTTAAATCTCGATATGGTTCAAACACTGATTTCATTGCTACAATAAACAATTTTTATTTTTGTGGATAAAATTTTATTTGTTTTTCATACCTGCTTGTACATATGTTTGAATTTTTTCGATAAGTATAGCTTCTAATCGATCATAATGTGCATCTGTCAAAGTTAATTCAGGTTCATTTGTTGCTATTATATCAATAGGTGCTGTATTAGGACTTGGTCGACTTGGTCGAGAAGCAACCACTAAGAATAAATGAAAATTGAAATTAAACAAAAATTATCAAGAAAATTAATAATTTTCTTGAATTTTGAAAAGCTTCTAGTCTCGGACGCTTATTTTTTTCGAGATACTTGTAAACGCACTATATACAGTCTTGAACAAAAGTAGCCGTTCCTTCTAAAATGCTACTATTCTTTATGATACTGAACTGATATTTTGGATACATGTGTGTGATAATAAATCATGATCGCAAGCAACGACCTGTCCTGCATCAGTTCACATGTACTAGAGTTATGATTTATACATCGTCTTTCTCCTGTGAAAAAAAAATATATTCATCGAAAACGTGCAGTGAAAAGATTTTGGCTTGTTGTACTTCTATTCCACAAGCTACTATCACCTGTTGGGCTCTACCTATACGCTTTCTTTATAATCAGCAAATTTCGTGATATATAGTTATAATCTGAGTAATTAGCACATTCGGAGATAGTGAACCTCTATCGTAGAACTATCTCGATTTCATTCAATTCTGTGGTGCTAAAATATCAAGACAGACTTGCAGAAACATTTGCTCTTCAATAAATATTCTTAATGAGAAGATGATATCTGAATCCTTTTAAAGTAATTTCTAACAAAATTTAGACTACAGATCGCGAAGAAAGTGATCTTTTAAATGACTAGTTGGACAAAAATATTTGTATCAATACGGTTAAAATAAGGCGATCATGCGAGGAAGATGATGTCTGAATTATAAATCCAATATTTGTGAACCAATGAAGAGTTATATATTAAATAATAGTAGCACTTCATGGTGATGGCTACTTTTATTCAGAACTGTCTATGTCAGTGAACAAGCTTTATATGATAAAAATCATAAATTATCGTTCATCAACTAGTTAACGATGATTTTGATTATTGAGTTCTAACCAAAAACAAGAAAATATACGATTCTGTCATCAACAAAAGCCCTAAAGAACAGCAATTTCATCATAGGAACTAATTGACCTTTTGTTATCATTTTATCTCTCATGAGAGTTTGGTTAGAGAAAGAACATAAATAAGAAAGAGCTTTATTCGCGCTAGACAAAGTATATTCTCTTTAATATCTCATCAATGATCTGTTATTCGAATGACTTTTATTAAAATACCAGTTTGTTCGAGATTAATTAATCTATCAACTTTGTTTGTTAATTGTTCAAGACGTTGACAACATCGTTCAAGTTTTTCATCATATTCAGATTGATATGTTGTTTGTGAAATAGGTTCAGACGTTACATGTGAACGGTGTTGATTTAATTGATGAGTTAATTCACGGATAGCATGCAATGTCTAGTAAATATAAAACCTATAATAAAATAGAATATAATCTATTTATTTTACTAACATCAACATTTAATGGTATTTGAGAAGTATTTGGTGATCGTCCACTACGACGTTTTACACGTGAATGTAATAAATCTTCTTCATCAGCCGTTGAATCATCATCTCTATCACTTTAATAAAAAAAATGAATATTCAACAACTAATATAAAATATTTCATATTAATTTTACCTTGTTTCTCCTGGATCACTAAAATCATCCATGACTTGATGACTTGATGTTTTTAATCCTCTGAAAAATAAAACAAAATGATTTTTAAAGAAAAAAAAACTAAACATGAATTGTTCTACTTCATTGGACTTTCACCACCAGAATGACATGATTTTGACCAAAGTGAATCATCACGATATTTCGATGGTGATACAAGTGGATCTTGATTATCATTAATCTATTAAACAAACAAACAGTTATAGTTATTTTCTTTTTTGAATTTTACTGCTTCATCATCATCATTTGATTTAATTGGCATAAAGACTATATCACCATTTTCATTATCATCTTCATCATTTGGTACTGATAGACAAAAAAAATTGAAGATTAAAATAAAATACGAAAAAAAAGTAAGTCAATTACATACATGCTTCAAATTGAAGTGAATAATTTGTTGTATGTGAGAGACTTTCAGCTACTTCCTTATCATCTTGATCAAATGGTGATTGTGATATATCTAAACATTTATTTGATGTATTTAAATTCATTGTAAAGTACTTGTTAATTAATAAATTTAATTGTTCGTTAAAATCAGTGAAAAATTTTTATTTGCATTCAAAATATATGCCGAAAAATTTTTTTCGATATTTTCAAAGGTAAGATTTCATTGTATAAAGAAAAAATTAGCAAACATCAATCATAAAAGACTCCAGGTAAAAAAAAAGAGGAAGAGAAAAAATTGCTTTTTTTTCTTTCTTCTTTGTTTCGTACGTGTGCAAGATACATGCAGTAGTCTCGTTCGCATGCTGTAATTAATGTTATACTTTCACAAAAAACAGCGTTATTTTTCTTTTTTTCTCTTAGTTACTATATTCTCTTACGAGTATGTATAATATCAAATGATGCTTTAGTGTTTTTTGCTTGGATTTAATACATTAGTAATTGTGCTAAGATAGATACAGTAATTGACCTACTATTAATAAGTACTGATGATGAATCCTTTTCTGTATTTCCTTTTGTTTGAAAAAGATCATTCATACGGGCAGAAGGACTCGTAGTTACGGCTACAGTTGCTTGCTGTTGTGGTTGCTGTGAAGGTGAAATATGTGTACGATGATCTTGTTGTTGAGTAGTTACAGCATCAAATGCTGTTGTATTACCAAGTAGGAGACCATGTAGAGGATCAATTTTTGGTAATGTATTATTTACACTTGATGATGGTGATATTGTATGAGTAGTATTATTGATGTTAGTTGTCAGACCATCGTGACCAGCAAGTAAAGAACGTGTTGTATCACCATTGGGTAAACTTGTTATATTAGTTAATGAACTATTTGGAGTAATCAGATCATCTATATTATATCTGAAATAGATTACAATCGCACAAAATAAAATAAAAAGATGCAGAAAGATCTTACGGTGGAAGTGCCATTATATCACTGACAATTGGCAGTGTCGGATTAGTTGTAGTAGTATTTGAAGGTAATGGTAAATCACTACTAAATAAATGTGACATGTAGAATTGGAAGAAAAAATCTAGAAAAAATTCCCAATCAAATATTTCACTAATTGAATTTTTGACAATCTTTGTTATATCGAATTATTAATTGTGATCTCTATGATCAATCAAAAGTAATTATTCTGTATTCAATTATATATTTAGAATCGCGAAGAAGTAAAAGCATTCAGTTTTAACATATTGGATTTTGGTGTACGGTAATGGAAAAAAGCTTAGCAACAACATATTCTTCATTTTCTTTTAATAAAAGATTTCATAGATTAACTATGATGGTCAAGTTTCAAAAAAAAAAACTGAATACGGTAGTTTACAAATTCCAAAAGATTTTGTCAGAACTATTTTTTAACAAATCCACTTTAAAGAGCACAAAATGAAGTGTTGCCACAATTTATACGGCTTTCCTTTAAAAGCTTACAAATCTCACAAAAAACGTACCAAAACGGACTTTAGCAAAGAACCGACTATCAAATTTGCATTTTTTCGAGTGTTAGGACATCCTAAACTTATCAAGGAAAAGTCATATAAAATGCAACGACCCCTCATTTTCCTTAGAATTTTGCGCTCTTTAAAATAACATTGTTGAAAGAATAGCTCCGATAAATAAAACAGACGACCTTGTTCAATTTGTTTTGATTGCCTCTTATTTTCCGATATGTTTTCAAGAAATTTTATTGAATGTTCTTTTATTTTGAATTTCAATAATAAAACATTCGTGTCTATATCTTTGACAAAATTTCCTTATAAAGTATAATTCTATTATTTTTCAAATGAGAAGGTACTCGTCATAAATTCTGGAGTAAAAATTATTGCTAAAATTGACGATAATAAGATTGAAATTATTAAATAACTCGTTGTAGTAACGAGTAAAGTTAGACGAAACAAAATCTAGAAAATAAATAAAATTATGATAAAATATTCTTTCAAATAAGAAACAGGTAAATTTTTTTTTCTAGAAATATATTTTGTATACTCAAGTTTAATAAATATCAACACATTTGAAATTATTTAGTCAAATCCATATCAAATAGTGAAAGATTTTCACTAACATCTTGAAATACAATCTATCGTTTCATACAACAGTCGCAAACTCTAATTGCCAGTCGTAATCCGAGATCGATAGGCCTTGATGCAAACAATTTACGATGAACATATTAGTATTTTGAAACTTTTCTCGTTGTCCACTATTTAAATAAATCAACCTCCATTTTCTCACTAAGAAACAAAGATTCACATGTCTATCTTATGTCACAAATAGGGTACTTCAATCTGATGTAACCTTCAAGCGCAAGTAAACGTTCATTGTCTAGAACGAACTCAGCATGGATTTCTTCTCTTTCCATCGTGAAATTATGCGGAAAAATTTTATTAGAGGAGAGCATACACTAGAAAAAGTTTCAAAGCTAATGGCTAAAATTAGGCAGATATATCGCCTACTTTTTGACGATTTCCATTAAGTCTCATGTGGAGATTAGTCCAAGATTACTTTATATATCAGACAAACTAAAGCCGGTCGACATGTAATTTTTATTCACGATAGAAGTAGTATCAATTCATCAAATAAGTGTTCTAAAGTCATGAGATTTGTTTTCCAAGTTATAATGTCCACGTCTAAAGAAAACCTATGTTGACTCTCTAGCGCCTCCGTGCGAAGGTTACTCAAGTTCTTGCAATTAAAGTTTAACATGCCCTAATTATAGTCAAATCATGAGGTTAATGGATTATAGTTTAAATACTTTTTACCTGTTAGTGGAATTAATCGCTGCTACTGTAGGTAATCATGAAATGTTGTTTTTTCGTTATGCATGAAAAGTAATATAATCTATTGATGTCATTAAAAATAATGAGTCATATCAAGTACATACACCCACCCAGTTATCAATATCATTAAAACAATACTTCACTTTCATTCATTAGGTCTTTGAAAGTATTTTACAAATCAATGTAAACTCGGATGTGATTTATGATATTATAATCTTGATAAACGGATACAAAAAAAATACAAACGGACATCATCGGAACTATGAACATGTCTAATGCTAAATATCATTGGAAAAAGATGGATTAATCATTAATTACCACTATTTGGATAGAGAAAAACAAAACTATTTTTCATTTATTTTGAAATATTCGAAAATAAAAATACTTTTTATACAAATTTTGTTTGTTATATAAAATCAAGGCCTATTTTAATAGAAAGAATACATGGCACTGTGCATTTTTTCTGCTTCTAAATATTTGTATTCCATAAAGTTCCTTATCAATTTGTTTTTCCTGTCGTAAGCGTCAGAAATAATCTAAAAAATTATGCGGAAAAAAATAATAGTTGCCAACAAGAATATAATGAAATAAAAATGATTAGCAGACTCAACACCTAAAATGCGTAAATATGATTCATCCTACTTTGATCAAACGTTAAAATGTCGAAAGATACAAATGTTGCAAATAATAGTGTATGAAAGAGATATTTCTTTACCTTTACTCTCACTCTTACCCACATTTTGATCACTCATTTTTATTGTCGACATTTTTACCTTTCGAGCAAAGTAGCATTTATGATGAATATAAGTTTGTTTAGACTATATAGAATGATAAAGCAAATAATTTTCTACAAAATAAGATGTCTTCGAGTTCTTGATTACATTATATTTTATCTGAGATAGAGCAACTTGATTAAAAGTCAAAAAACGGTTTGTCTATAGAAATTGGTAAAAAAACGATTCCAAGAGCTTCCATAAGATCAATGTATCTCAAGCATAAAAGGTCGTAGAAAACTCGGCAATGTCTCATTTTGTAGAGGATGGTTTACTGTATCGTTATATATAGTCCAAAAAAAATTATATTAGCTAAGTTATGGTACTGCAAAACTAGATTTTTAGCTTTCTTAATTCCCTCTCTTTGGGAATTCGATGCTAATTTTCATTTTCTTATATCTATGTTGGAAACAATTTTCTCTATTGGGGCCATTATTGAGATTCTCTCTAGCACTTATGTCAGCAGAAAAGAAAATGAAAATAAGCCTTTTTGAATAATTTTGGTACTCATTGTATATGAAAAAAGACATTACATCAATCTCTTTTCACTCTTCTAGAGGCTTAGGTATGCCTTTGACATAATTAATAATATATTTGTTTTAAGTGTTTATACCTCCATTTAAAATGAGGAAAAAAAGTAGACGCTCGCTCTGGATCATTTTTCTCATTTTGTACTTAATAACAATAGGATGATTCGATATATTTCGAAATGAGTTACATTGATGTATAAAACCTAAAAAAGAAATGAATTGCAATGAAACCAGAAGAAATAACAGAGAAATTCTCTATCAGTTAGGGTAATGTAATAAAAATAAACCGACTCGTCACAATTTCTGTCGTTGAATTCAAAACAATAGATTGTTGACAATATTTTATATATAGTCTTATCTTGTGTCTAGCGTATTCAATATAGATTCGATCAAAAAGACTCACAGTTGTATTAGAAATCTATTATGGAAATGAGATTGAATTGATGTTTTTCAGTTTCTTACATTTGTATAGGTTTTTTTGTTCTGTTCTCACATATCCCGAGAAAAATCGATATACATTTTATTTCTCTGATTAAGAATGTATTACAATAGAAGATCAACAATAGAGAGGGGTCTCAGCCTTCTCCTACCCCAGAATCTTAGCTTCGCCAGTGTGTTTTGTTGTAATCTTAATACTAAACCTAAAGAATTATTCTTATGTATAAATAATTCAGAATGAAAAATCTAAAGACAGTAATGAATGCTCAGTATTCCTGTCATAAGGTAATAATTATAATATACCTAGTGTGTGGATTACTAAAAAAAGTATTCGTACATTGCTTTGATGCAATAACAAATGCTGTAAAAAAAATTGGTTTTGTTCCCCAGAGTTTCGGTGGAATGAATTAATCTTCTTTGTCACTGGTTTTTTAACAATGCTCTTTATTATCCAGTGATAAAGATGGTGGTAGGTTTTTTTGGAGCAGAATAAAATCATAGACAGAAAAATATATGCAATCATGGTAAGACATCACTCGTATTACAGAAAGTTATAAACATCGACAGGATAGAAAAGAAAAAGAAAAAAAAGTGTCGGAAACAGAGAACAACAACTTTTTTCCTTGTGATAGAAACCATAAACTTTATTCTTCCGAATAGAACGTAAAAAAAATCTTATCGTCTATCTCTGACAGAAAATATAACAATCATGCTCTACTCTACATGATTGATTGATACTATCGATCTTCACTCTGCTAATAAGACTCTTGAATTATATTATTAATTATTATTTCAAAAGCTTTAAAATGCAATAACTTACGTATGTATTTTTCTTTTTTTCTGATAATGAAAATGGTTGATTATTAAATATCATCTAAAACGATTACATATGTATGATTATATTCATTAACCTTTTTCCTCTCGAATTTTCTAGTTAATACATTCCAATATGCTCCAAAACTTAATGTCAATCAGATACAGGTGACTAATGAACACATAAAGAAAAAGAATAAATGAAAAACATTTTCATTCTTTTTTTTTCTTCTTTGTATCGATTATCGTTTCTATGCAAAATAAATCATTTAGACGTCCAACAATAGAATTCAATCATTATTTTAACGATTGAAATATGGATACAACTGTTATAAACAATGAAGAACAACAACAATTAATTCCTATGTCTTCATTATTACAAGAGAAAAATGTGAATGAAGATAATATTATTATTATATGTGAAACAAATAATAATAATAATAGTAATAATAATAATAATAATAATAATAATAATATTGAAAAACAAATGTCATCAAACAATATACAACAAATATTTGTTTTACGTTTTTATTCAGATTTTAAAAAATTCTTAACATCATTAAAACTCCCACATTTGTCTGATAATAGTTTACGTATAACATTTCTTATATTTATAGCATTAATTGGTTTAACTAGTTTTACAATCGCACTAATCGTTGGTTCAAGTATAGTACAATTTAAACAA